ACACCAGGCCTCCCTGTCCATCACCAAGTCCTGGAGTTTACCCAGACTTATGTCCATTGAGTCAGTGATGCCATCCAACCATCTCATCCTCTGTCGTCCCCTTCTCCTCCCGCCTTCAGTCTTTCCAAGCATCAGGGTCTTTTCCAATGAGTAAGCACTTCACATCAGGTGGCCAAAGTATCGGAGTTTCAGCTTCAACATCAGTCCTTCCAGTGAACACTCAAGACTGATCTCCTTTAGGATGGACTGGTTGGATCTCCTTGCAGTCCAAGGGACTCTCAAGAGTCTTCTCCAGCACCACAGTTCAAAAGCATCAATTCTTCGGTGCTCAGCTTTCTTTATAGTCCAACTTTCACATCCATACATGGCTACTGGAAAAACCATGGCCTTGACTAAACGGGCCTTTGTTGGCAAAGTAATGTCTCTGCTTTTTAACAAGCTGTCTAGGTTGGTCATAACTTTCCTTCCAAGGAGTGAGTGTCTTTTAATTTCATGGCTGCAGTCACCATCTGCAGTGACTGTGGAGCCCCCCAAAATAAAGTCAGCCACAGTTTCCCCATTTTTTGCCATGAAGTGATGGGACCAGATGCCATGATCTTAGTTTTCTCTGTGCTGAGCTTTAAGCCAACTTTTTCACTCTCCTCTTTCACTTTCATCAAGGGGCTCTTTAGTCCTTCTTCACTTTCTGCCATAAGGATGGTGTCATCTGCATATCTGAGGTTATTGATATTTCTCCCAGCAATCTTGATTACAGTTTGTGCTTCATCCAGCCCAGAGTTTCTCATGATGTACTTTGCATATAAGTTAAATAAGCAGGGTGACAATACACAGCCTTGACGTACTCCTTTTCCTATTTGGAACCAGTCTGTTGTTCCATGTCCAGTTCTAACTGTTGCTTCCTGACCTGCATACAGATTTCTCAAGAGGCAGGTCAGGTGGTTTGGTATTCCCATCTCTTTCAGAATTTTCCACAGTTTATTGTGATCCATACAGTCAGAGGCTTTGGCATAGTCAATAAAGCAGAAATAGATGTTTTTCTGGAACTCTCTTGTTTTTTTGGTGATCCACCAGATGTTGGCAATTTGATCTCTGGTTCCTCTGCCTATTCTAAAACCAGCTTGAACATCTGGAAGTTCACCGTTCATGTATTGCTGAAGCCTGGCTTGGAGAATTTTGAGCATTACTTTACTAGCATGTGAGATGAGTGCAATTGTGTGGTAGTTCGAGCATTCTTTGGCATTGCCTTTCTTTGGGATTGGAATGAAAACTGACCTTTTCCAGTCCTGTGGCCACTGCTGAGTTTTCCAAATTTACTGGCATATTGAGTGCAGCACTTTCACAGCATCATCTTTCAGGATTTGAAATAGCTCAACTGGAGTTCCATTACCGCCACTAGCTTTGTTTATAGTGATGCTTCCTAAGGCCCACTTGACTTTGAATTCCAGGATGTCTGGCTCTAGGTGAGTGATCATGCCATTGTGATTATCCGGGTCATGAAAATCTTTTTTGTACAGTTATTCTGTGTATTTTTGCTACCTCTTCTTAATATCTTCTGCTTCTGTTAGGTCCATACCATTCCTGTCCTTTATTGAGCCATCTTTGCATGAAATGTTCCCTTGGTATCTCTAATTTTCTTGAAGAGATCTCTAGTCTTTCCCATTCTATTGTTTTCCTCTATTTTTTTGCACTGATCACTGAGGAAGGTGTTCTTATCTCTCCTTGCTATTCTTTGGAACTCTGCATTCAAATGGGTATATCTTTCCTTTTCTCCTTTGCTTTTCACTTCTCTTCTTTTCACAGCTATTTGTAAGGCCTTCTCAGACAGCCATTTTGCCTTGCCTTTTTGCATTTCTTCTTCTTGGGGATGGTCTTGATCCCTATCTCTTGTACAATGTCATGAACCTCTGTCCATAGTTCATCAGGCACTCTGTCTATCAGATCTAGTCCCTTGAATCTATTTCTCACTTCCACTGTATAATCATAAGGATTTGATTTAGGTCATACCTGAATGGTCTAGTGGTTTTCCCGACTTTCTTCAGTTTGTGTGCCTTCAGTAAAAACCAAGGACAGTGATCACAACAGCTTTTAGTAAAAGAATGAAAGAAATCTCAGTGTCTCACGATGAGAGGTGAAAGATCTCTGCAGATAAAACAGCAACTGTAGCTCAAGTCCATTGCAGAAACTATTTTGTGATACTGAAATAAGGCTCTCTTTCAGGGATCGGTGAACTTTCTCTGAAAAGGGCTACGTAGTAAAATTTTAGGCCTTGTGGGTCATCAGTCTTAGTCACAACTCTACAAACTGCCACTGTGATTTGAACGCAGCCATAGAAAATATGTGAATGAATGGGCATGGCTGTGTTTCAATAAAATTTTATTTACAAAACTCATGTGGTGGCCTGGATTTGACCCTTAGGCTGTGGTTGGTGGACTGCTGCTCTGATCAGCAGTAAGAAGCTGCCTTGTTCTTATGTTACAAAACAAAAAGGGGGAAGAGGAGAGGTAGGAAGGAGGGGGAGGGAAGCACGTTACAAAAAATATTTAAAATTTGGTGCTTAGTTTAGTGGGAGGGGTTAATTGCGTAAGAGTGTTTTCCAAATGGGGACCATTCATCAGAAGCACCTGGGAAGCATTTAAGTTATAGGTTTTGCACCTCCAGAGAATGCCATTCAGTAGGTCTAGGGATATTTTTATATTCTCTAGTGAGATCCTTTGATTTAAAAAGTCAAGTGACAATATAAAATGCTGTAGAGAAAATGATAGGAAAAAGGAATAATATAGGTTGACTCTCATAAAATGAAATACGTGGACCATTTGCTCTAAAATCCTGGAGGGTGCATTCCCAGCAGGCCTCTCCAGAAGCAGCAGAAGGGATGGGTGAAGAATTACAGAGCAGTGGCTGAGGTCGAGCCCCAGGGGTACCAGGTCCCTCACTCATGCTTTCAGCCTTGAGTTGCCACAGAGCCAGGCCTGAGCCCTGGCTTTGCCATGAGCCCTCTTGTGACCTTGGACAAGCCCCTTTGCTTCTCTGGGCCGAGCTTTCCTCTTCTGGGACCCCTCCCCCAGCAGCACGGGCAGGATTCCATAAAACACAGACATCTCACAGTGGCTTTGGAGAAATTCTAACCTTTGTCCCTCTCTTATGAAATTCAACTAAATACAAGTGTTTAAGAGTGAGAAAATCACTGACTATGGCATGTTAACAGCCCTTTGGCAGGATTTTTCATAGAATCACAAAAACAGGACTGAACTTCTGAAGGACATTTGGTTTAGATGATGGGGTTTCCGTTTATGAAGGAACTTGCAATATTCACTCAGGAGAACTTGTCAACTCGACTTTTCCAGACACTCCGCCGGCCTCTGGGCCACTTCACTGTGCCAGGCTGGTTACAGGGCCATGCCAGCTTTGTGTGAGGAGGGGCTGCAGCCCGGGCCGGGGTGAGCAGGGGAGTCGGGTAACGCTTGTGTGCGGGACCCCAAAAGGCGCAGCAGGTTTCTGCCCTTCAGAGGGTAACTTTTCTGTTTTTAACATAGCAGTCACATGACTGGAGCTGAATAAAGTGCTGTTTAAGATAGGGAGAGAGGAAGAGACGGGGCGTGAATTTGAGAGCTGGAAGGCTGTACACATGCATGACACACACTATAACCATTGTTTTTGTGCTGACGACAGAATTTCTGGAGAGGCCGTGTGCAGTGGTCCTGGGGCCTCAAGTCCACAGATGCTAAGAACTCTAGGACTTAGACCTCTCAGCCTTGCCTCCTTCCCACTCCCCTACTTCATTTTTTACATTTATATATTATATGCCTTACCACTTCTTTATTATTACATACAGTTCCTAATCTCTTGCATTTAACCTTAACCACCATTTCCAAAAGGGCTGCATGAAGGATTAATGCTTCAGACCAACTCTGGTCTTTCTGTGAATTAGCAATAACCAATTTTCTGGGACTAATGTGAATTCTGCCCATGAAATTAAATAACCAAAATGAAAATGAATGTCTCTGTTCCGCAAAGAAAATGGAATTTAAGCTCCCTGCTGACCACAGTCAGCTCTCCTGTAATGTAGCATATATGTTCCTAAAAATCCCAGCTCTATGCAAAATTACACAGTAAAAACCACAGAGCTCATGGGAATAATGAGATTGGGGGCACAACACCCAAAAGTGTCATTATTACTGGTACACTGGTGAAAAAGGAGCTTATCAATACAAACAGTAGCACAGTTTTACATACCAAATGGTCAGGAAATACATAAATACTACAGTAAATGCGGCACATTATCTTGAAAAATACATGGAGGATGCCTGTGGTCCTATGTAGTGGGCATCAGAAGGGCTGTGGCTCCTGGGTTGTTGAATGTAAGGGAAGGAGAGTGATGTGAGGTCAGCAGGTCCTGGCCAGTGTGCCCCCCAGCGTGTTGAGCTCACCCTCATCATGTGAGGGTGTGCCTGGCATGTTCCTACCAGTGCAGTTAATTGGGGTGCAGTCTTCCGTTTTCAGCTGATGTTCCATGAGAACCAGCGTGCACACAGCAGATGTGAAAAGTGCATGATGCTCAAATGATCCCCTGACATCTCTCCCATTAGAACAATCACACATTTTCAAAACAAGTGCTACTCTAGCTTAACTGTGTTTGCTCACCTGGCACAATGACAAGGGAACACTCTAAAAAGCCTTCTAGCTTTTTAGAAGCCACCAATGGCATTCCAGTGAAGTTTCAAAAAATGCTGAATGACCCACAGAACTATAGTTGGTGTATTTAAAAAATAAAACTGTGTAACTTTAAAGGGTATTCACTGAAGAGATTTCTTTCTCTGTCCATCTTTCAGTAAGTCAATTTTGTCACGTGTATCATGTCACGTTTCTATTATTTACTAGTGAAATAGTTCACAGGTTGAAGGCAAAGCTCCTGTTTGTGAAAAGATTCAATTTTAGTTCAGGATCAGCTACAGACACTCTTAGTACTATTTAAATTTTGTTTGCAATAAAGAGACACACAGTTGAGAGAGAAGCACAAAGACTCCACCTTGTGAGTCATCAAAGTGCTTTATTTTGTAAAGCCCGGCTCATAACTGGAGTGTACTGTTAGCACGAAAAGATACAAGGCGAACTTCCTCACTCTGTCCGAAGATTTGATCAACAGGGTGGATGACAGAGACTGTTACAGACAAAAATAAAGCATTTTGTAAACTTCTAAAAGCATACACAGATGGGTCACAAAGGAAACAATTACTCAAATAATGTTTGGGTACCTTCTCTTTACTTCAGGGTCTCACATTTGTAATCCTGGATTAAAGAAACTACAGCCTAACTTCAGAGTACTGAAAGGGACTCAATGCCAGAATGAATGGCAGGGTGGGGGTGGGGGCATATTAAATCACTATTTCAATTAATTTAGACACATGAAATACAGATTTGGACAACCAGATCACAGTGCTGTCAATGTCTGCTGAGGATAAAAATTCTGAGTGAAGTCAGTAGATGTGGTAGAATGGCCTTGCTCCCCAGATTCTGGCTGCTGTCACCCCGTATTTTCTGAAGTAAACCTATATACCTTGGGCACAGTTGCAGACTTGATAAGCCCTGAAGTAAAGTTACTGGAAGAGGCAGTATGGCGGGACTATTTGTTGAGTTGCAAGTAATTATTAAAGGGTGGATTTTTGTTTTTCTTTCCTGAACCTGCCTACAAAAGTCATCTCACATTTTAAACAAAGAATTTCAAAGGCACAGCTTTAGCACAGTGTATAAGTTGATAACGTATTCCTAAGCAAGTCTAATATTTTAGCTTCACGCCTTTCAGAAAATGCCAGGAAGTTGGTAAATATATGATCGATGTTGGAAATCTATAACTTGATTAGACACAGTCAGCACAGTTTAGGGCAATGAACTTACATAACCAGATCTGGGTTAAACATTTTCTTTAAAAATAAAAAAATCATTAGACTGATAAATGTACATCTGGAGGAAAACAACCCTTTTCCTTTTACTGTAAAAGACTGCCTACCTGGTACTTTGAATAAAACATTCACCCCAAAACATGACTGCAGGATACATTTCAAAATATGACAAACATTATTTCATCTATACTGTAAAATGACTTTACATGTAAACTTCAAAAATCACGTGCTGTACATTAAATTTTTAGATTCAAAAATATCCCTGTTTTCCTAATAATGTAAACAGTAATATTGAGGATTTCAGTTAAAGGGCAAATTTATAACAAAATACCACTGTTCAACAGGAGGATTGAGAGTTCTAAATGCTTTGCTCACCTTCCCACCATGGGAGATGTAGATACCATTGCCCAAAACTATGCACTTTTCAGATAAGCTTTTATTTTTATTTTGTAGCATTAATTCCTGTATTGCAACGAAAGAGTGTTATCAGTGAAGAAGCTCCAGGCAAGAAAAGAGAAGTAAGCAGTTTTCCTGGACATATTTACTGAGGTGAAAATGTACAGAGAGAGTCACTAGGGGCATCAGCTTCCTGCTGGAGGAGGGGCGTTTGTCCCCGGACACGGGGAGTCCCGACACCCAAGCCAGGAGGCACGGGAGATGCCAGCCTCCTTCGTCCAGCGCCCGGGTGCAACTATTAAGGAGTGTCAGCGTGCGTGGTAGAAGTGTAACATCTGCAGTAAGTTTTTTTTTTCCTCTTAATCACCATCATTATTATTATCATCATTATTATTATCTTCATTATTATTACGAATACTGTCTCACATCTTTCAACTCCAGAAAATAAACTGATCCACAGTTTATCGTGTGGTGCCAACCTGGTTGGTCTGACATGCATTGCCTTCTCCCCCTCCCCCCCTCTTGTGCTCACTCACTCATTCATTCATTCATTCATTTGTCCACAGCTGGAATCAGAGGTTTGTTGCCCCAAACACACACTAACCAAAGCTGGTCAGCTTCCATTAATCAATCAATTTTTAAGATGCACACACGCACAGACACACACACGTCAGAAATAGCTAGAATGATGCTGGGAAATATCAGGTAGCTATTAAAGCGAGTAGCCCCCAAGTCAGTCATCTTGGCCTGAAGATGTAAACGAGGAGGTGTGCTTCACTGAGTTTGGTGTTCATTTTTCCTGTGCTGAAGCCACCTCTATCCTTCCCATGCTCACGTCCGTCCACAGTTGTGCAGGACGTTACGTTAAGATGTGGCCAATAAAGTCCAAAAAGCGCTTGGAATACTGTTCTGGGTTCACGGTGGAGATCTCCGCACCAGCCTGGGCAGTGTGGGAGAAGAAGAACAGTGATACTGTTAGAATTACTTGATCACACCTACAGCAACTTCCACTGCAGCTGAATATGAAGCCAGCCATTTTCAAACCTGTGCAGCCTCTCTCGTAACTCAGAATATCTTGGATACGGGTCTGAATAACCAAGACTCTTAAGAATCTGGGTGTGATGTAAATCCATGGCTGATTCATGTCAATGCATGGCAAAAACCACTACAATATTGTAAAGTAGTTAGTCTCCAACTAATAAAAATAAATGGAAAAAAAAAAAGAATCTGGGTGTGAAAATGAGGCAGAGTCTCAGGAAAAACAGAGGCTGGTGTCATATACACTGTGACTGCTGCCACCAAAAAAAAAAAAAATTCAACCACGTTTGAGATGTTCCCGTCAAATGTGGCATCTGTGTGGCCTCCATTCAGAAGCCACGGGACAACACTTCTGTTTCTCAGGAGAGCAGACGGGAGACACCTTGAGAATGACACAAATGGCAGCGGGGTTTCCTGTGACGAGCACAGTGCAGACCAGAGACCCTCGGAGGTTACTGACCAGCTTTCAGAGCTGCGAAGGGCAGGACCAGAGTTTTTACCAAGTCACTGGGTGCTATTTTGATATACACAGCTCACGGGGAAGCTGTAATTTCCATGCCTGGCCTGGGCCGCTGGGATCTCCACAGAGGAGCCCTGGTTTTTTTGAAGGCAGAGAATGGTTCCCAGCAGCAGGTGGACACAACGTTCCTTTGCAGAGAGTAATGTCTTGCTCTTGCAAACTGCACCCGATTTCAGGCTGGGTGCCGTATCATGGAGCTGAGCTGGTAACATACAGGGGAGGCTCAGGTGGAGCCGTGTCTACCCTGGCACATTTCCAGTTTCACCTGGTCTAGAATATCCTACAGGTTTGAGGAAGGGTGGGAACAAACAGAGCCTCTCCCCACTGACCACAAAACCTCATCAGCAAGGCGTTAGGGCCCTGTCAGCCGCTGGGGGAACTGGGGTGCCAGGGCGTCTCCTCCAGGTCACACGACTGGAGACGTGAGGCAGGGACGCGGGCCCAGTCCCCTCCCCGCAGTATGGCCAGGCTCTTCAACCAGAGACGAGCATCAGAGCTACCGGAGCCTTTCAGAGACAACCTGCCCCACCAGCCTCCTGAACTGGACTTGGAATCCGGGCAAGGGGTGGTGCATCTGGCTGGCAGAGACTTTAAAATGGTTCTCAGAAGGCTGCGGTGCACGCCCTTGTGTGAGAACTGCTGTGTACCCTCCTCTCTGACAGAGGATTTCCAGTGTGTTCAGCGGGGAGGGTGAGGTCCTGGTCTGGGCACCGCACAAAGCTGGAAGACCGTAACTAGTTGGCAGTGTGACCGAAATATTTCTGTGGCAAATGGGATATGGTGTTGGGCTGGTTCCATTGCTGGAAGGACAGCCTGTTTGATTTTAAAATAAAGAAAAAGAGCCTTTCATAGATGTTGATGTTCTGGTGGATCTTGGTTGACTCCGCACTGGGGAAGTGTGATGGAGCCAGAGCATAAGTTCACCCCATGTGCTGGGCTTTGGGCCTTTTCAGCACACCTAGAAAGCCAAAATGAGGTCCTACAGTGCAGGCACAGTGGAGACTCACAACTGGGAAGTCCAACCGGCAAAGCGGGCCTCACTGGTTTACTGGAGGTGGGGCTGGGTCCCGGGGAGCAGTCCTCTCTACCCTGCCTAGTGACCTGATCCTGGCAAGTTACTCCGTAAATGCTCAGCTCCTTCACCTGATAAGGAGCACACTGGTTATCCTTATCAAGGCTTTCAGGATTCCACAAGTTACCATATGCCGGAAACAGTGAGAATTCCGGGCAAGGACAATAAAAGCAAGGGACTCGTATCACTAAACTTTGATCTTGCACTCAAAAACCTTCTGTAATAGGAAAAAATACAGTCCACTGTGCGGAAAGAGATAGTGTGTATCTTAGAAGCATCTTAAGCAGAGACTAAATGCTTCAGTTCTAAGCACTTCATATTAAAACAGCTGTCGTCATTCAGCACTTTTGTCTTTGAAGCATTTTTCAAACAAAAAAAGAATTTGTGTAACATTCTCATGATGCGTGTGTCTGTCAATAACCCCAGTGGGTAACAGAAGAGCCGCGCAGGGGCTGTGAGTTGCCAGGGGCCTTGGGAGCTCTGACTCTGCGCTGAAGCGCAGCCCCTGCAGGGAACCTGAGCCATGGAAGGGACTGGGCAGCTCCTAGGAAAGGAGTGGACCCGCGCTGGCCCCTGCACCGCAGGAAGCAGGGAGCAGAGAGGAAACCAGGCAGAAATACTTACGCCGTGCTTAACAGTTTTTGCAGCGTGGGCAGCTTTCTTTTTCGCATCGTAATGAGTCAGAATGTCAATAATTGCCATAAAGTACACCTCCTTCCGAGGCGAATCTGTAAAGGGATGAGAGACACGATTGTGGGACAGATGGTGATGACACCTGGGACAGTGTGAACTGCTGCGGGAGGAAGGGCTGAGGGAGTCAGGGTCTGAAAACGAAGGCAGTGGAGGCTGTTAGAAAGTCTTGTGCATCCCCAGGAAACAGCTTAACTTTCTGTTCCCAATTCTCTCTCAATTTAAAAAGTAAGAAAGAGAATATAACCCCAGTATATTACCAGCCGAGGTCCAAGGGTGAGACTGTATGTTTTTTATTAATCTGCATTTTCTTTAGTGATTGTATATTACTTTGGCATAAAGAAAAATGTTTTTTAAAGAAATACTGTTTAAAACAAGAATTGTCTTGGCCAAAAAATTCATTCCGGTTTTTCCGTGAGATGCTATGGAAAAATCTGAACTAAGTTTTTGGCCAACCCAATAGAAGTAATTATGCTTAACTTTCTACTGTTACCTGTAACTGTTCCTAATGCTCATTGGTTCTAGTAACAGAACTGCATAAAGGCATACATCATCTACAATACCCGTCTTCTACATATTTCCACAAATAAGCTGCTGTTTCAATTATAAACTATTGTTCAAGTATACTTGACTCTAATTTCCTGTGTTGAAGAAACCATTTTGGTGAGCAAAATAAAAAGCAGAACTCAAACTCAACCTGGCTGCTATGCCATGAGATTTTTTTTTTTAAAACGATGAACCACTGAGTTATTTTTATTATTAAAAAAACCCCAGAGGCCTGCATTTATCTCAAATTTTTTCATGTATAAGTAGCTAACATAGCATGTAATATTCCTGTAAATATCCGATCACCCAGATTTTGAGGATTAAAATCAATCTCACTTTTGTGAAGAGAGCCACAGACCCCTTAATGGGGGAAGAGCCGAGGACAGATACGCAGCAGCAAATCGGAGGTGCTCTTCCCACACCTGGGCTAGCCTCAGCTTCCTTTCCCAAGAAGGAAGGATACTTGCCCTACCCGATGTCCACAGGAGGTCTGGCGTGGACCATGTGTGTGGCTAGTTCAGGACAGACTTGTGACTTGAGATCCACATAAAAGAGATGGCTAATAAAAAAGTATTTAAAAATATTTCTTATATACGGTACGGACATTTACACAAGCATAAGCATATGGGTGTTGTATATACACAGCACACTGTTGTGTGGTTTCACCTGTTCCCTTCAACATCCCACAGTTCAAGGATTTCATCACATTACATTTCAAAACCAGAGATTACAGTTACCTTTAATATACTCTGTCCCAAAATCAACTGATTAGGACTCTTGAGAAGGAGTCTTACAGGACAGCATGCTTTACCTGGGTTGATGATTACCAGTAGATTAACAATGAAAAAAAAAAAATCAAACCAATGGTTAAAAAAAAAAAAGTGGATGGTGTCTGCACTTACTTTCATGGCATTTAATTCCATAGACATCAATGTTTGGATCAAACTCGCCCGGAGCCAGGGGCGGCGAGCTGTTGAGCGTGTTCCCGGGGCTGTCAGGAGGGGTCCCCACAGGGTGGGCGCCGTCGCTTTCCCCCTCCTCCTCCCCATCCTCCTCACACTCCACCTCCTCCTGCTCGGCTCTCTCCACGTCGTGGATTCCCACCAGCAGGCTGTAGTCCATGAGCTTCAACTGGGCAAGAAACTGGAGGGGAGGAAGTGACACGATCGTTTATGCCTTAAGCACAGCCCCAGATTCAAAGAGAGCAAGCTCACAGAAGTGCAAGAGGAAGGCTGGAAGCCCTGGAGTGGCAGAGGCGAGAAGAGGACTTCGTGCAAGAGGGCCAGGAGCCTCTCATACGGGCAGCCTCTTCCCAGGCAGCTTCTCGGGCGGAGCTGCAGCCTCCCACTCGGGGCTGGCTCAGAGCCAGGACCGCTTCCCTGAACTGCCAGGCTGGAAGCTGAGAGGGATGCGTGCATCACATTGACGAGGACTGCACCAAAGTGCAGAGAGCATGACTGGCAAGGAGGACACACAGGGAAGAAAAGGTTTCTCCCAGCAATTAAGACTGGCTAATGGTCAACCCAGGGACCTCCCACGTCGCTGCCAGGGGAGCCTCTTAGATCTGGCTTGTGAAAGCACTTTGAAATGCAGCATACTCAGTGAGGCTGAGTATTATGCTGTCCATCACGAATAAGCAAAGGCACCAATGTCCCAATCAACCAGCAAATGCCTCTGTCACTGCTCTGGTGAACAACACCCTCCTTCAGTCCTGCTCGGGGGTGTCCTGATCGGAGCGGGAGCCGGGGAGGCTCCTCCATCACCCCCTCCCATGCCCTTTTATCCAGGAGCTCTCTCTGGCCTGTTCCCCTCACCCCCTGTGCCCACCCTGGATGCCCTCCAGAGGTGTGGGCACAGCTGGAGATGTTGCCACCTGGCAACATCTCCCACCCATGTGTGTGTAGTGGGTGCAGGGTGGGTGGGGCTTGGCCGGGCCTGGTCCTGCTCAGCTTGTAGGGTGACAAGGTACAAGCCCCTTTCTCCCCTTCCCTGCTTCCTCTGGCCCTTGGAAGGTCCCTGAGAAGTGGCAAGGACTGCATGTTGTCGGGACTTCCCCTTCTGGTCCTCTGGAGAGGGGAGCATTTGATCTTGTCATGCCTTTCGATGGGGTCTCATTTCTCAAAGGGTAGAAACAAAATCTCGCGTGGTCCGTGGGACCTAGATGGTTTGGTGTCATCACCCCTCAGGCCATCTTGCATCCTGTTCTGGCCTCTGACCAGCTCACTGTGCCCCTTGACCTCCCACGAGACTCAGGTCTCAGCTGCAGGGCCCTTGCTCTCGGAAGCCTGTCGCAATTCCTGCCTGGGCATGTGTGCCCTGCACACTTTCCCCTAAGGACACCTGGCTTAGCTGCACGCTTGAATTCCATGAACAGAGGAGTCTGGAGGGCTACAGTCCTTGGGATCCAGAATTGGACAACACTGAGTGACTAACACTTTCACTTTTTTTTCTTTCGTTTTATTAAATTATTTGAGAAACTTCTCTATCTTCCCCAAACACCGCACACCCCTCGGGGGCAGGGGCTGTGGCAGTTTTTGCCCTTGAAACTGCATTATGATTAGTCAGATTATGATTAGTCACCTGCCTTCACTAATCAAGGTCGTTTAAGACTCGCAGGTCCTCCAAGGGACATGTAGCCTGAACAATGTTGTCTGGCTGGTTCTGTTTTAGGAACTAGGAATCAGCTCTGTCGCGTTCGAGCTGAGCAGGTTAAGGCTGGATAGACCCGCCGACCCTCCAGCTGGGCATGCGTGAGGGTCCTCTCACACCTGCGAGGATGGCCAGCTCCACCCTTGGATCGTGCAGAGGTCAGCAGCCTGGTTTACGCCTGCGCCGAACGAGGATTCCCGCACCTTTTCCCAATCTTTGCCCACGCTCCACGCCTCAGACCGCCCAGCCGCTCCTCCGGTAAACACCTCCTCAAGCGAGCCCCTGGCTTGGGGACGCCGACTGGAGATTTGCTCTTCCTGCCTGGCTGCCCTGCGAATAAACCCTCTGCTGCAGACCTCGGCGTCTCGGCGTCTGGCTGGCTCCATGTTGGGCACAAACCTGGTTCGGTGACGCCATCGCTGCCCTCCTGACTCCCAGGTAAGTGATGTTGCTACTCGATATTTACTGAACAAGTGAATGGGCTGCCTGCTGCTACTTCCCCTGTCCCCCTTTCCTCTAACTTCCCCTGACCCCTACCTCTAAGAGAAACAACCCCCTAAACCAAATAAAAAGAATAAAGCAACAACAAAAAACCTTCCTATGAGACTGCAGGAGGCAGCACCCATTGGAAGCAAAATGAGGTCATTTACAACATATCTTTGCTCTGCAGAGCAGAGTCTCTCTGTACATATAGGTCCGTTTGACTTCCAGATGCATGAGGTACAAATCCACTTTCAAGTATTTTGGAGAGTGCAAAAGGGGCTGCTTGTAATTAGCGTGCCAAAGGTCAGGCAGCGGAAGGGTAACAGCCTGGGCTGTACTGCCCCACGAAGTAGAGTGAGTCTGCAGGCCCACATCTTCCCCTGGCACCTGTGCCACTCACAACGTCAGCTCTGCCCAGAGCTCCTTTCCTGGGTCTCTCTGATCTGTGGTCTGCCCACTGCTTGGTCATTTGTATTCAATAATAAAAGTGAAGTTAGGCTCCGGCATCACCCACTAAACTATCAGTGAGATGAAACTGGTAAGTTGTTCTGACATACCCAAGACTAAGGAGGTGAGTTGCAGCCCCAAGTGGGGATTATATAAGAAACGGGGATTATGTAAGTCTTCAAATCTGTGTCTGAGACAAATGGAGAAGACCAAGGACAGCACAAGGGTTAAATACAGCTTTTGCCGATCAGGGTGACCCACTGAAGCATCAGATCATCTTAAACAAAACGTAAGTTTTGGAGCCAGATGGGCAATTGGTTACTTGCTCCATCTTTTACGGAATTTTTTTTTTATGGAGTATCACTGCTTGACAATGTTAGTTTCTGCTGTATAACATCATGAATCAGCCATATGTATACATGTATCTTCTCCTTCTGGAGCCTCCCTCCCTCTCACACCCCCCCCCCCCCCCCCCCCCCCCCCCCCCCCCCCCCCCCCCCCCGCCATGCCACCGACCTGAGCTCCCTGCGCTCTCCAGCGGCTTCCCACTAGCTGTCTGTCTCACACATGGTAGTGTATGTATGTCAGCGCTGCGCTCTCAATTCCTCCCACCCTCTCTATTCCCATCTGTGTCCACAAGTCGGTTCTCTACATCCTCACCTCTACTCCATGAAAAATGGTATTGATAAACCTATTCGCTCTGTGTCTTGATGATGAATTCACTACTCTGAACCTCAGTTATTCTAATTATAAAATGGGACAGCCCCACCAAACTCACAGTGGTGGAGAAAGGATTAAAGAGAATGTAGTGGGGGCAATGAAAAGTGCCTTGCATGTAACAGTGGAAGTGGTTTTTATAACTGTCCCTGTTGTTACTGCGGCAAAAGCCTTTTTTCCATCAAGTATGTAACTTAAACATACAGGTTCAGGTGACATGAGCCAAGAGGGGAGACGTGTTGAACAGTCTGCATTGATGCCCCAGCTCTTATCACAAAACATCATTTAAAATCTCTTCTAAAGTAGAGGGAAACACAATATGCAGTAGACCTGAGATTCTTGCTGGAGAAAGTCACTGTAGGGCATCTTGAAACTACTGTGGGCTAAAGACGACAGGCCCCAAGAAGAAGAGGGATTCAGGGCTGCCTGGAGGGTCTACCTCCAGCTGATATTTGGAACTTAAACACATTTGCTGTTTGCTGCTCATCCCTTTAAGCTTCTAACTCAAATTAGTGATTTTTAAGTATATAACATTTCAAACCATGAAGATTTAAAAACTTTTGTAATCTTTAGGTTCCCCTGCTTGCCAGCTTCTTAATAACTGTTTGCCAGACCTTGATCAGCTTCTTTGTCCCTCAGAATATCCCACTTAACCTGCTTCCCTCATAATTCATTCCTTACTATGCCAAATCTGAGCTAGTATTCCCTTTATGAGCCCTGTTACAAGCAAACACTTATTGAAAACTGTATGGCTAAAGAGCTGTTAGTAAACTCTTGCTGTATGTCTTTGGAGAAGTGTCTATTTAGATCTTCTGCCCGTTTTTCGATTGGGTTGTTTGTTTTTTTGTTGTTGTATGAACTGATTGTATATTTTGGAAATTAAGCCCTTGTTGTTCGCATCATTTCCAAATATTGTCTCTCATTCTGTATGCTGTCTTTTCATTTTGTTTATGGTTTCCCTGGCTTTGCAAAAGCTTGTAGGTTTGATTAGGTCTCATTTGTTTTTTTATTTCTATTGCCTTGGGAGGCTGACTAAGAAAACATTGGTACTATTTATGTCAGAGAGTGTTTTGCCTATGATCTCTTCTAAAGAGTTTTATGGTCCTATCTTTAAGTTGTTAAGCCACTTTGAGTTTATTTTTATGCATGGTGTGATGCTGTGTTCTAACTTCAGTGATTTACATGCGGCTGTCCAACTTTCCCAGCACCACTTGCTGAACAGATGATCTTTCTCCCGTTTTATATTCTTGTCTCCTTTGACCGTAGGTGTGTTGGTTTTTCCCCCTGGGCTCTCTGTTCTATTCCATTGATTCATATGTCTGTTTTTGTGCCAGTAATACACTGTTTGGATTACTGTAGCTTTGGATTCAATGGACATGAACTTGGGCAAACTCCGGGAGATGGTGAGGAACAGGGAAGCCTGAGGTTCTGCTCTCAATGGGGTCGTGAAGAGTTGGACACGACTTGGTGACTGAACAACAAGCTTTGTAGTATTGTGCATTTTCCTTAGGATTGCTTTGGCAATTCTGAATCGTTCAAGGTTCCATATAGATTTTAGAGGATTATTTGTTTTAGTTCTGTGGAAAATGTCATGGGTGATTTGATAGCTGCTCCCTCCCCTCCACCCCACGCCCCCCCAAAAATGTGAGGCATGAGATGGCCTGTGATGGGGTGGATGCCATGGGACACAAAGCATAGCCTCTCGTGTGAAATTTGGATCCCAGTGTGAGCCAATGAGAGATGAGGACCAGCCCTCCACGATCACGGTCAAAGCTGACAAGAAGAGAGTCTGAGGGCAAAAGTGACCTTCCATTCTCCATCAAGTGCTTTCTTTGGGAAAAAGGGCTCACATATGCTCCTGTGTAAAGCTATTAGAACTAACAACGTACTTTGCTACTTTGCTCGGCATATAAATAGAACAGAATTTCAAATGCAGAGAAAAGCTGGCTAGGTTCTTATTTTCTTACAGAAATATTTGAGCTGTAATGAATTCATTTTTTACTTAAAGCATTAAGTTACCACCCCGCCCCGCCCCCAACCCCATCCTGGCCAGCCGGCTAAATTAGCAAGCATGGAACTGATGGAAAACGAAACTAGATTACATTCTATCAGATGTCAAGCTACTTTACCATAAGTACCTGCTTAAAAAATTAATAATGCTTCTGCATGATTTTCAAAACTAGACACTTACCAACCATTGAGAATTTTTTTAAAATGAAAGAATGCTTTATGCCCTGCCTCTATTTAAACAAAACAGCTAAGTGGGAGAGCCATGGATGGGATTAAAAGTAACCAAATCTTCTAATCAATGACACTATTAGAGACAATGAAAAGGCAAAGAGAATCCTTATGTAATTCAACTGTAAATTTGAATGGCTTCAGTTACATTATTTCTGGAGTCTAAAAATCAGAGTGATATACAGCTGAGAGGGGAAAAAAGATAAAAAACATTTTTTCAAGCAGATGAGATATCCCTAAGGGCTGTTTACTATAACTGCTAAAGCAGTATTACTTCTCAGGATCAAAGCCTTTCAGGATAATGAATAAAACTCCCAAATAGTATGTCTGCCTATGGCACTTAGTTATCAGATAAAGTCGACCCCAAAGCAAAAGGGAAATACTTAACTAATATGCATTTTAATGAAAACTGCTGACAACTGAGGAAAAATAAATGCTGAATAATGAGAAACTGGAGAAAAACTATTTTTTGACAAGACACTGGGTCCTCTTTACAAATAACCAATATCTAGGTTCTAGCCAAAGCATATATGTGATGTAGGTTAAAATGCAAAAAAAATTTCTTAAAGTAACTTATAACCTAAAAATAATCATGAACTAAATTGGTCAGTCTATGTGTCTTTAAATTAAAGATGTTAGGAGATTAAAAAGAAAATTATAATGCTGCTTCTGCCCTCATGGGGGATATAATCTAATCCATGACATTTGTTTGTGCTTGGCTTAAGTCATGTTTTGTTTTAATTTTTTTTGCTTGCATGGTGCACTGCTTGCCAGGCCTTAGTTCCCTGACCAGTGATTGAACCTGGGCCCTGGTGGTGAAGGTGCTGAGGTCTAACCACTGGACAGCCAGGGAATTCCCAAGTCATTTTGTCTTTAATGACCCAAGAAAGAATCTTTTCACAAAGCCTTTCTAAGTAGCAGATCTGTACTGGTATGTGGGGAACTGTATTTCCAAGTTAAAACAAAAACAAAACCAAAAAATGCACACATGAACAAAAGTAACAGCTAAGAATACTGTAGCTTAGTAACTGTCTAAATTAGAAGTCTCTTTGCACTGTTTTGTAACCTAACAAAATTCAAAAAAAGAACTTTTTTCCTGAATTTATTTCTAGTAGATTTATATAAGGAAGTTCATTGGGAGAACTGCACTGCCTTTACAATAAATAAAAGATAGGGAAAGGTGTATTTTTAATACTTAAAACAATATTTACAAAGAGAACTCCTTTATAGACTAAAAGGCCATTTCCACATAGTATTTTATTTCTCACAACATCCCCCTCGACCCTGGTGTCCTGAACTGCCCGTGCTGTTCCCATGCCGTGCAAGGCTGACTTGACGTGCCCAGTGATACTGACTTCATAGAGGCTGGTGGCAATATTACTGAGGCTGGTATTTTCTAACACCCAGATGTGGTTCAGATGGGGAAAACCCCAAATTCAAATAGTTACCATACACTTGTCAACATGATCTGGTCTTCGACAAAATACAGTCGGTCCCCTCCACCCGGGCCCCGGTTGCTGGGGGCGGGGAAAGGCAGTGGGTCTGAAGGGGCTGTAACCCCGCACAGGCTGCCCCCACAACAAAGAAAACGGGAGCCTGGGGGAGGGGACACCAGCAGAAGACACCGTGTGCCTGCTTCGTCTGTCCTCTGAAGGAGGGAGCTGCTGAATCGGCATACTTCGCTTTCAAATCAGCTCACATATAAGCTATACCTGTTTATATCTGCTTTGGCTAACGCACAATATATATTTTTGTCTTGGTTTCAGATACAAATAGATGGTTTTAAAAGCTTCTAAAAACCCAGTAGTGTTGACATTCGTACAAGGGGCCATCCCTTGTATTGGTGTGTTTTTTTTCTTCCTTACCTCTACATCCTTCTTCAGCTTTTCCAGGAATACCTTTTTGTTGTTGTCATCAATATAAATCTTTTGACCCTCATTAATGAAATCATTATCCTTTAGAGTTGGCAGTTCTTTGGCCTAAAAAAAAGAGAGAGAAAGAATAAGGAAGGAGCTTGACTGAAATTTAAAGGACTTCTATGCTCTCCAATCCTGGAGTTAAGTTTCCACCCCGAGGCTGAGTTGCCCTGCTCCCGGAGGGGGCCTTACCCAAGGCAACAACATGTGAGGTGGCTTGCGTGCCGCAAGGGGGCGCCAGTGAGCTATGACCACTGGAAGCATTGCCACTAGGAATGAGGGTCAGACATACTCCGTATTCTGACTCTTTTGTAACAGATTTCATGGTTTCCTAAGAAGGAACCTGACGGCTTTCTTAGATTCACAAGAAGTCTTCTAAGTATAGTATTAGTATTCTTGAAATTCTTTGTCAGGAACCCTCAATTTTCTTACTGGTTCAACCCAACTCCTTACCCACCCCCTCCCCCAACACACACTCTTTTGGGGTAGCCTTTGCTGGGTTCATGTTACAGATAAATTGTTATCTTGCTCAGAAAAGCACCATCCACAATCATGTATAAATTTAAGTTGGGGAGAATATGCAGCCAGAGGTTAGCCATCTGCCCTCCTAAACCTTCCAGCACACCACTCCAAGAAGGAAATCCTCTTTTCATTTGTATAATATTGAAGAAAAATGTCTTCTGGCATAAAGCATATTAAGATGAGATGTTTACCCTTTAAAAATAAATAGGATGGTAGTGAACTGGCAACTAAATTATATTTATGCTGACCAACACAAAGAATGCATGATTATCAAAACATGGTTCGCAAGCAAAAAAACAAAAAAACCTAGTTTTAAAGTAGTGTGTATTATTCACCTTTGCACAACCTGCATTCTGGGAGGGTTCAAAACCCTTCCTCCCTCCTTTTGACTGACCTTGTAAAAAAACAACCACTCCTCTTATTTCTTCCAGTTGAAAGGAATTGAACATAATACCTTGCCTTAGTATACTAATGAATGCCTCCTTTCCCTAAGTGTGAACCAAATGGGGGGAAAAACCCAAGGAAAGAAAAGTCTCCATCCTGGTCTCCACACTGCCTCCCCTCATTCAGAGGTATAAAAACTCACTGGGTACATACATCTACTGAAAACAAAGTGAGAGAGTTAGTTGCTCAGTCGAGCTGCTAGGTTTCTCTGTCCACGGAATAATTCTCCAGGCAAGAATACTGGAGTGGGTTGCCTTTCCCTTCTCTGGGGGAATCTTCCCAACCTAGGGTCAAACCAGGATCTCCTACATTGCAGGCAGATTCTTGACCATCTGAGCCACCAGGGAAAGCTGAACCACCTTCCAAATCTCTGAACTTCTCACTTTTTCTTCCCATTTTGTAAGGTATACACATGTGTGTAAACTACTCATGTCTATCGGTAGACACACACACATGTGTATTTTGCAGTTCCAAATCGGTAGCTTTGCTACTGATTTTAACTTTGAGAAAATCTGCAGTTTTGTGAGTTTTGATTTTTATATAACTACTGCCAAATTGACTATCTTTGCAAAGCTCAGAAATCCAAAGATTCCATTCAGTAAGTGGTTGCTGAATGCCTGCCATGTACAGGAGTGTAAAAATGAATAGGTGAACACTTCTGTCCTTAAAGGAGTCTGTGATTTTGTATGAGAGACACTGAGAGCAAGAGAACACGGCAGTGTGTGAGGCACACAGATACATAATGCGGCTCCTGGGGACTGATCTACTTTCAAACACTTTTTTGCTGAGTCAGATTAAAGAAATGAAATATCCTTCATCACAAAAACTCACCAGGGTCCAGATGGATTAACTGCCTAAGTTGGTCATTCATCATTTAAAAATGTAAAATGTGAAAGAAAACTCTCAATGTGAAGATTATTAAATGTTTGAGTCAATTACATAGACCCTAAGTTATTTTCTTGGAACTGAAACAGTGAAATCGCACAGTGAATGACATGTGAAGATCTGAAGTTTTAACAAACTCAGAGGCCTGTGAGAAGCTAAGCATCAGGAAAGGTATAAAACTGGAGTGCTTCAGAAAGTGCTGAAGCCAGATCTATATACAAACATAGGAGATGCAGGAGGATCACGATTCCCTAAATAGACAACATGAGCAATATTTGTCTACATTGAGGGGATGGCTGTGTGTGTGTGTTCGGGGGGCATTAAGGATTCAGATCAGATCTGCCTAAACTCCACAACTCATTTTATGAGTGTAAGCAAAGAACAGGAGAGGGATTCTTGTTTGTGAGCGAGAAACCTGAAGGCAGGGCTGACAGGCTACGGACAAGGCAGTAAACGACATACAATCTGTGCTGGGGGTACCAGTCACGCTCATGGAGACGAATGAATGCCACTTTAGGGTCACGCCAGCAGAATTACCTACTGTGACAGGGAGAATATAATCCTACCTCATAAAACTCTGGACACACTGTACTATATTACTAGGCTTACTTGTGAAATTTCCAGGCACTAGGGATGTATTTAGATTGGATCAAGTTCAAAAGAGGGCAACCAGATTGGTTAAGAGACTTAAGGGTTTACTGAAAGGCTCAAGAAGTGTAGGTGGATTCTTAGGGCAGTGGTTAGAGGAACCCAATGCTGATCCACAGATGCCCCCCCACCCCCCCGCCCATGTCAGCAGGATGGCAGAGTGCTTAGGAGCACCAGGGTTTAGAAACATGAATTCTGAGGTTCCGAGCCTTAATCCTCCCCCTTATTAGCCAGGGGCCAGTTCCTGGACCTCTCCAGGCCATCTGGTTACATGCAGAAGGGGAGACCCTGCTGAGCCCTTGATGTGCATCCATTCATTTAAGTGCATCATCTCATTTACTCTTCAAAACCACCCTAATTCTCACCATCCTCATTTTACAGATAGAGGAACTGACTTAAGTGAGAGAACACAGCTAAGGTCTCCCAGCTTGTTAAGTGGAGCTGGTAAGCCAGTTCCCGAGCTGAGATGGGAACCTGGACTGCCTGACTCTTAGCAGAATTCTGTGTGTGCATGCTAAGTCATTTCAGTCGTGTCCAACTCTGTGTGACCCTACGGACTGTAACCTCCCAGGCCCCTCTGCCCATGGGATTCTCCAGGCAAGAGTACCAGAGAGGGTTGCCATGTCCTCCTCAGCACAACTCCATGTGTAGCAGAAGGACTGAGATTTTGGCCAAAACTTGTGTGACATTTAAATAGTGAGGTGAGTGGCACTTATTGTCATTGTCATTGCTGGGAGCATTCAGTAACTGGTATGGATTTAAAACTGTATTATAGGTTGAGAGAAAATATTTTCTTTAAAAATAGAGCTTCACTGTTTTCTACTAACAGCTGAATGACAAAACTGAAGCCACCTGACAAGACACCCTCAAGAAAACCCTGGTGTTTGACTTCTTATAAATTTCAATATATCCTTCTAATAATGAGCAGCATTTATATTAAAGATGCACCTTTTTTTTTTTTAACATGAGGGAAACTATTTTGCTGTGAATTAATGAATATCATAAATTCTTGGTGTTAACACTGCCCACAAAGGTGATGTCCACAGAGAAGCACATAAATAACTGTGGGCAGCAACCGATCCCACCCCTTGCTTTGCAGCACCAGATTATTTGCACTTAGGTGAGCTTTGAAAGCATTGAAGTCTCTGGGTCTGGCTCTTTAATGGGCATCTTTCATAGCCTTTCTAACTCAGTGCAGAGGGTGGAGGCAATCACTAGGGCTAAAGACATCAGCTCAGAAACACTTGTGAACTGTGGACTCGGAGGCTGGCTCCCAGCTAGCGGTTAGTCACCTTTTTTGAAGTGGTTGTAGGTTAAGTCTTCACTTATTAGCTCTGCGTTAAAATTCTCCCAGCTAGTGTTGTGTAGACTGGGAGCCTCCAGTACCTCACATGGTGCTTAAAAGCGGCAGTGCCAAGGAGGACAAGGTGTCCTGCTCTTCCTACACTGCCCTCCCTGGCCAGGGGAGTGAGGTGTGAAAACCAAGGCCAGCACAGCTCACATCTATATCCCTTTTGCAGGAAGTGACTGTACTGGGGTGGGCGGGACTCAAAACGGCATTCATCTCTACTGATGTGAAGTGTAAATGAACAAACACAGCTAAAGGCATAAGCAGAGCGACACGGGTCTCCCGGTAAGTGAGCTATCCTGCTTTCATTGTGTGGATGAAATTGGCACAGTGAATATTCCTGGTACTTTCCTGGCAGGTGATCGCCTACAGCTAGTCAGTATGGCGCAGGTTTCTACTTGGGACACAGATTGAAGCCTGCGCTTTTGAGCATAGGCTGAAACCGCACCACCTGGGTTGTATCTTGGCTCCTCCAGTTATTAGCTGTGTGACTTGAGCGAGTTACTTAACCTTTTCTGTGGCTTGGCTCCTCATCTTTAAATGGGGATTAGCAGACAACACTTTTGTATTACACTCATTTGTACTGTTAAAAAGCTTAGGGCTCTGCTTGCCACATGGAGAGTTACATATAAATGTTCTTGTTGTTTGCTGGTCATGTTCTCAAGTATGGGGTGTGAATCTAGAGAAAAGTTCATCACCGATAAATCCAGAGCAAGATTTAAAATAAAAAGTTGGCATATTTAACACTTTTATAACAGCTGGGGTGTTTAGACCCAGCTTCTCAATCCGTCCAAGCTTCAGTTTCCTCATCTATATAGTGGAATATTAATAACACTTATCCAGTAGGATAATGAAAAGACAGAAAATGAATGAAAAGACAGGAAACACACAGTGCTTGGCAGTGAGAACTAGGTATTCGTTTGCGTCTTAGTTACCCATCAGTTTTGACCATGACCAATGTTGTTACAAAGTGTTTCCTGCTAATGAAGAATATAGACTTATCCATCTCTTCTATCCTTCCTGATTTTTTAGAAGAAATAGGCTCTTTAAATTTGGGATATCAGTAATCTAAGCCATGTTGAAATCTTCCTGTATTTTCAGGTTTTCTCATTAGGCACAAACACCTCCTGTAATGTTCGCAAGGCTGTTTCACTTCACTGTGTCACACACGGTACATTAGAGGCTGGGTACGCCCCTGCCCTGGCTGCCCTCCAAA